GGGCAGGGTCAGTTTAAGTTTTACTGTATAAACAAAATCACTGTTTTACCGGATGGAATCGCTCTGGCTAAATAGGCCCTTACACTAAGGGGAAGGCAACAGTTCCTCTGGGACCTTCTCCGCCCCCCAGAAAGGAATACTGTTTGGAAATTGTGTTGGTACCCAGTAGCGGCCAAATTCAGTCTCCTGGAGCCTGCCCGATTCATGGTTCCCACAGCAGCCACTGCCGCCTGCTCAAGTGAGTGAAGATGCCTGAAAAATTCGCATCCTGGTACTGCTGCCCTTGTCGCGATGTGTCCTGGGTGGAGTGGCAGGAGAAGAGGTCCAGCAAAGAGCAGACTGGTTGCTGTCCAGGGGGCGGAGGGATCGGTGGCCGTGGAGAGAGAGAGGCGGGGAGGAGAGGACAGAGATGGGAGAGAGTGTGAACTTTGCCAGCCGCTCCATCCCAGCCGGTGACCACTGTCGCTTGCCCTTTTACCCTGTTCCTGGTTTGTTGTCCGTCCCTCCCCACTGGGCTTGTCCATTCCTAGAATGTTCCTAGAACACAATGGTCAAATGTTTGCTCTGGTTCGACTGCAACCGGGTGAACGTCTGCTTTTTTCTCTCTTCTTTATTAGTAACAAATTCAATGGGTTCTAAGGACCCGCAGAAATGACGCATCTCAGAGGGAACGCCCCGAATCAAGAGAAAGCGGTCGGCTTTCAGAAACCGCCCCCCCCATGATATTACCAAATCGCTTAAATGTTCGTGTGGTTCTGGTGCGCAGAAAGAGGTTCTAGGTACAACAGCGGTATATGCTCGGGAGAGCAAAGCACCGCCCGCCAGGACGCTCGGGCCCCGGTTTCAACGCAGCGCAGCCCCACCAGCGAGGACAGACGGGCATCCTCCGCAGCAAAGCCTGGGAGCGCGGCCGGCCTGAGGGCAGTCACGGCGCTGGGGCGCGCGCAGACGCGACCCCCCAGCGGCTAGGCTGGGGACGATCCCCCCAAGACCCGGGTCCCTCGGCAGCCCTTCGCTCCCCTCCGCGGGGCACGGAGACGCCCAGTCGCCCAACACCCTACCGTGCACCGCAGCCCACAGCCGCCGGCCGCAGCCAGCCGCCGCCACCGACTCAACACCGCCTCGCCGCGGTCTGTGGCAGGAGCGCCCCCAGTGGCCGGAGGCCCAACCGATGGACTGTCCCATTGGCCCGAAGCCAAAAGGCTCTCATTGGTGGGAGGCTCGAGAACAAAGGTTTTCATTGGTCGGGCCCTGAGGCGCGCCGCACTGTCTTCTGGGAGTTGTAGTCGCAGCGTCACCAGTGCGGCCGCCATTGTCCGGCGGGCGGCGAGTGGAGTGGTCCTTGAGGCCGGGGCGGCTCCCGGGTTTACGGCCACTTTGGGCTCCCGTGCTCGACCTGTCGGTCCAGAATGAACCCCGAAGAGGAAACGACAGAACTGGCGATGGCTACGGGGCTGCCAGCGGAGTGGCTTCAGGTAACAATTATAATAACAACGATGGCAGCGGGCCGAGCGTCTCCCGCAGGTATCGATCCTTTAACCCCCAGCGCACGGTGAGCAAGGCCCGGGCCTTACCCTCTACACAGGAGGACACTGAGGCGCAGTTCAGGGCGCGCCCACTGGCCCTGCTAGGAAGGGTGGAGCTGGGATTCGAACGCGGGCCCTTTGGTCCCCGACTGCGCATGCTCCGCTGCTACTCCGGTTTCCCGGTTCTGGGATTGCGTTTGGGTTCGTTCCCTAGGACAGGGCTGGCCCGGCTCCCGCCGGTGGCCTTCCCCACGTCCGAGGGCGACTGCTGCGTGAGGGGTGACGGTCCCTAGTGTCAGCGCAGCGCGCAGACGGCAGGCATGAGACACGTCGGGATGCTCCAATTCCTGAACACGCACCGGGAGCCCTGTTCGCGAGGCCCCGGCCTAGCCTGAGGGGAAAGACGGTCCCCACGCAGCGGATTGGCGGGAGCGACGTCCCCGCGGGGGCTGTGGGGGAACCGCAGCGGTGGGCGGTCCGCGCTTGCAAGGCCGTCGGGGAAGCTGCCTGGTTGAGAGCTCCAGCATTTCTAGACAAAGTGGCCGCTGCCTGTGTTCTCCATAAAGTGCTGTCTCCACGCGGCAGAAACCGAAGATAATTCATAGCTCCGCAAAGATGTGTACCTCCAAAGATGTGAAGCGCCACATCTTTGACGTTCTGCACTTACTGTCTGCCGCTCATTGCTGCTGACGAGTATTTGCATGATTTCGGATTTAGTATGCCAAGCCAGACTATTGCTAACCTTGGCTTTGCATGTTTTCCGATGTGCGTTCTTGCAGATCGCCATGAGGTGCACCCACGCTTCAGTTTGCCTTTGCTCTGGATGGGTGGACAGGGAATGAGCAGTGTCAGAGTAAAACAGCTGGATAGTACTTAAAGCAGTAAAAAGAGATTTTATTCAGAAACTGTTGGCATGCGAGAAAGAGACTTCAGTATAGAACTGGGCTCAAATTCCGAATACAACCAGGGGAAGTGGGAATTTATACCTGGGGTCTGGGATGGGTGTAGTTCTTGCTAAACTGACCTAACAGGATCCTTTATTATTATTATTACTATTATTATTATTATTAAGATTTTATTTATTTTATTTTAAATATTTTATTTATTTATGACAGAGAGATAGTGAGAGAGGGAGCACAAGCAGGGGAATCTGGAGAGGGAGAAGCCCCACATGGAGCTCAATCCCAGGACGCTGGGGTCATGACTCAAGCCTAGGGCAGATGCCTAACAACTGAGCCATCCAGGTGTCCCAAGATTTTATTTATTTTAGAGAGAGCATGAGCAGGGCAGGGGTTGGGGAGAGAATCTCCAGCAAACTCTGCACTGAGCATGGAGCCCAATGTAGGGCTTTGTCTCATGACCCTGAGATCATGACCTGAGCTGAAACCAAGAGTAAGATGCTTAACTGACTGAGCCACCTAAGTGCCCCATGACCTAAGAGGATTCTTGTTGAAGGAGGCCAGTTGATCAGATACTGCCTGGAGGATTTTGGGGGATGAGGACTTGGAAAAGACATGGAGAGTGATCAGATATGGTGGGTGGGGATTCTGACTAAACCAACTCTATATGAATCTGGGTGATGCAAAATGGACACAGAACCCAGAGGTCAGGGCCTAGTTGAGAAGAGGGTTTGGAGGAAAGAGTCTTTGTCAGCAGCAAGAGAACATGTATAAGTTATCTGTTGCTGTGTAACAACCCCAAAACTTAGTGGCCTAAAACAACACTAAATATTACTTCAGTTTCTGATGATAAACGTCTCAAATGATTTAGCTGCTGGTTCTGGCCTGGGTGCATGAGGTTATGATTAAGGTGTCAGTCTGGACTGTTGTCATCTGGAACTTGACTGGGGCTAGAGGATCCATCTCCAGGATGCCTCACTCACATGACAGTTAGCAGTTCCTTCTCATGTGGGCCTCTCTGTGGAGCTGCTTGGCATGAAGGACTTATGTGATGCTATTGAGAGGTCTTATGGCCTGGACAGGTCAGTACACAGTGGACCTGGTGCCTGGGCTGTCACTGAGAACCCGTGCAGAGGGGGAGACAGGAGGCACAGGGAGCATGTGTCAAGGTTTGAGGACCTTCTGAGTGGGAGGTGATAACATGGGGACATGAACAGAGACCTCTGTTCCCAACCAAAGGGTTCTTCATACTTCTGCACAAGTTTAATCAGCCATATGCCACCTATACTATAATTTCTTTAATATTTTAAAATATACTTGTGTTTTTCTTAAAAGAAACTACCCCGGGGCGCCTGGGTGGCTCAGTGGGTTAAAGCCTCTGTCTTCGGCTGGGGTCATGATCCCAGGGTCCTGGGATTGAGCCCCGAATCGGGCTCTCTGCTCAGCGGGGAGCCTGCTTCCCACTCTCTCTGCCTGCCTCTCTGCCTACTTGTGATCTGTCAAATAAATAAGTAAATAAATCTTTAAAAAATTTTTATAAAAAAAAAGAAACTACTCCTTTATAATTGAGGTATTTATAACTGATTTTGATTCTCATTTCCCTGGTGGCTAATGATGCTGAGCATCTTTTCATGGGCTTCTTTGGTGTTTGTATATTTTATATTTTCTCTGAAGAAATAACCTATTTAGATCCTTTGCCCATTTTAATCGGGTTGTTGTTATTATTGAGTTGTAAGAGGTATATTTTCTGGATACAAGTCATTTACCAGGTGTATGATTTGCTGTTGCAAATGCGGATGTCTTTTCACTTTTTTTTTTTCTTCCACTTTCTTGATAGTGTCCTTTGGAGGACAAAAGTTTTTAATTTTAATGAATTCCAACTTATTTATTTTTTCTTTCCTTGCTTATGCTTTTGCTGTCATATCTAGGAATCCTTTGTCAATCCCAAATCCTGAAGATTTATTACTATGTTTTCTTATAAGAGTTTAATAGTCTTAGCTCTTATGTTTTATTTTTTATCCATTTTGAGTTAACTTTTTATATGGTGTGAGGTAGGGGACCAACTTTATTCTTTTGCATGTTGTCCTGTAGAAAGTGTTTTACAGCGCTTGTTCCCTATCACAGCCCCCAAAGCATGATTCTTTGTAGACAGGGAAACAAAGTAGAAATGTGAAGCTGCGTATACTTCTTAAGGAGGAAGTGGCAGAGTCAAAACTCGGATCCAGAAATACCTAGCTTTTGACAGCAGCCACACCCAGCCCATGGAAGGGTTTGATTTGTGGGATGTGTTTTATTTATTTATTTATTTTAAAGATTTTATTTATTTGACAGAGAGAGAGAGATATCACAAGTAGGCAGAGAGGCAGGCAGAGAGAGAGGGGGAAGTAGGCTCCCTGCTGAGCAGAGAGCCCGATGCGGGGCTTGATCCCAGGACCCTGAGACCATGACCTGAGCCAAAGGCAGAGGCTTATTAACCCACTGAGTCACCCAGGTGCCCCGGTTAGCTTTGATCTTGCTTGGATACTTTCACATGCCCCCAGTGAGACCTAAGTCGCATTCCTCAGAACATACAGTCTCTCAGGACACTGGCCTGTCTGTCCTCTGCATCCTCATTCCTCCTCCTCTTCCTGGGAGCACTGATGGAGACAGTTGAGCTGTTCAGGAGTGTGTGTGATGTTTCAGGAGCCGGTGACCTTTCGGGATGTGGCGGTGGACTTCACCCAGGAAGAATGGGGACAGCTGGGGCCTGCCCAGAGGACTCTGTACCGTGACGTGATGCTGGAGACCTTTGGGCATCTGCTCTCTGTGGGTAAGGCCTGCTTCCCCAGCTGATTGCTGCAATGACTTATGCTTCAAGGGGTATAGGTCACAGGGCTTCTAATATGAGGAGTTGACCTTGGGTTGGGGATCAGGGATCTTGCCTTCTCACTCCCTGTGGCACAAATGAGCAGAAGGATTTCTGCACTCTTCTGTCCCAGTGCAAAGTTTTCACCTTATTGTGAGATGTCCTCGTGCCCTATCAGGAGTCTAGGGCTGGATCCTGAGCTGGTTCTTTCTCTCTTTTTAGCAGATTCACATATCCTGTTTCTTTCCCTTTTTCCAGGGCCTGAGCTTCCAAAACCTGAAGTCATCTCCCAGCTGGAGCAAGGCGCTGAGCTGTGGGCAACAGAGAGAGGAATTGCCCAGGGTTACTGTCCAGGTAAGATCTGCCAAATGGCAACCCCTAATGGGAGCAGCCCAGGAGGAGACTGCGGATGTGCTGCTTGGAAAGGGTGGTGTGTCAAGGTCCCCAGCACCACCCAAAGATCCAGTGAAAGAACCTAGAGGAAAGTTAGCAGGAAGAAAAGGCTGATGGGGTGAAGTCCAGAAGCAGCCAAGACTCCAGAGTCTCTCCCAGCGGAGGCACATGCGACATGCTCAACTCCCCCACCAGGAGTTGTGACAACACATGAGAAATCTTAGCTGCCAGGGAAGCTTGTTAGACACTCAATGCCAGATGGTTTCATTGGGGGCTGGCCATAGGCATCCTGTGCCTGGCAAGACCAAGATGCTAGACTTCTAGAAGAA